CACCCTGAGCTATATGTCAGCTCATCACCAGGCAACGATACAGAACATGCTACCAATTTCTCAACAATCCTTCCGCAGATTGTGATACGAAAACCGTGTTGCAAATTTTGCACTTTTAAGATTTCTCCTATTAACTCACCTTTTCAACCAGCCCCAAAAATGATGCTGGCCGGCAAAGCCATATGGAAGGCAGGATGCATGAAGATGTTCAGTGCTGTAGCTGCTTGCAAAAAGAGTGTGCGCGAGGTCATGGTTTTATGAAATACAGACAGCAATAATTTGCTTCAGATAGCAGAAAATATGCTACTTAGGCAATATGAATGAGAACACTGATTCAGTGGAGAAGCGTCAAAAGTAGGTGGTAGGGCACTGTAAACGCTAAGAGTCAACACTAGTGCCTCATGCATGGGCACTTAGGCGAAACCCAATTCTACTGCGAAGCTTCATCCGGTAACTAGCGCAGTAGCAAAATGGAGTATCTGTTTAGGGTTACGACAGAAGTATGTTGGGGATGTTGAGGAGGAATACTCTTCGGCTTGCAGATTTATAATCGACACCAGCGGGATCCCCCACGCGCCAACAGCCGCTTGGAGGGTTATACCACTCAGCAGACAGCAGACTTTAATTTCTCCTATTTTTCCTTTCATACTTTAGTCGACATGTCCGTTTTATAGTTCGACGGAGAGGGTATCCACATTCGTTTTACTCACCTTCTTGCCTTCTCCAATATAATGTGTGTGAAGTCTCTGTACTGAGAATTTCACAGTGGAAGATCACTCATGGCCTCAAAACTTGATATTAAATGTACATGAGCACTGCGGAAACGCTTTTGGGACATAAACAGATGTCCAAGAAAATTTGATAGCATGACGTTGACTAAGAACAAACACTGCACAACTGTGCCTGCTGTTCGAAACACTTTAGGCGGAAGAAAATTTGTCCCCAGCGTAGCTCATAAAGAGCACAACAGGTAGTAGCTGCTTGTTGGAAGTAATGGATGGTAATAATGAATTTTTATCGCCTATCCGCCAAAAAGGAGCTCTGTCTCTTTATTAGCGATACGCCTGCTGTAGCCATCAAGAAATTCCGGATGAGGATTGCAAGGTTAAGACTAGTGTTCGCAAATCACCATCCAAACATGAATTTGGTGATCTGTTGCTGTGGTTCTCATAACGTTTTGTCAAAGTACTAAAATCCCTAATTAGTTAGAGAGCATCAATGCATCCATCCGCGTGTGGCAACTCACAGTTACAGCAATAGCGTTCATCCAAGGGCTTTTAAAACATCTCTAACCGACGTTAGGCTCACCAAATTCCATATGAAGTACTGCATGTATTCATAACATGGTATCGACCAAAGTATAAACTCATCTACTGTCCGATAGTCTGCACAGGCCGGCTAATATTCGTTTTAGCAGGGTCTCCCAATGTAGCAGCCAAAAAGTGTCAAGGACAGTGGATCTGCTACAGGGTCTGAGATCGCAGCGTTTTGGAACGATCGCAACACATTGTCTTGCTAACGCGAAGTTAGGAATAAGGTACGAGCCTAAACGCAGCTCACAGACTGTCAACCAAATGGCTGCCAAATCAGTATCAGCATGAAAAACTGAATGGTTACCTCTACTGCTTCGCCCTTGTATTTGTAGTAATTCACAGATACTCCAATTTTCTGGAGAGAGAAACATGAAGCACTTCTACTTGTTGGGGACTCCCTCTCGTGCGGTTAGCAGTAGTTGGACTGTTGAAGCCGTGCTCTCAAAGTTTATACCTCAAGTATCTCACGTATGCACTAGTGAATGCGATTTAACTTTCACCGGGAAAAAACGATAAGTATGGGAGGCGAAGTCTCCGCCTCTCCATCAGCAACTAGGGAGTGGAAACCGATGGATGACTGCTACACTGAGGGCAAGGCGCAGCAACATAAATATATACGTTCTTTAACGCTTTTCGCTTCCCCCTTACAAATACGCACGCCCTTTGAAGAAACGGTGAGAGAAGAAAACGACCCATGGGGAGTCCATAGCGCCCTTATCGTCTTGCCTAAATCTATTGCTTTTTCATTACGACGCTCATGGGGCCTCCCGCCTCAAAGGTCGAATCCAAAAAATAAGGTCTTTTAACGAACTAGCCACTACTGAAACTTTGTAAATTCAAACCTAGCTGTTAGCTGCTTTGGGGCGCGACATTGGAGTGCTAATTAATCGTGGAATTGTGAAAAGGAGTTCACCGGACCTCTTCACTCGAGCCCTCTTATTCGCTAGCACATGGAGTCAGCATTCACAACTCATAGTGAATGCCGAATGTGTAGACTTGGCTGTAATTTTGTGTGCACGTTAGTCTTGACGCAAGCAGGGGTCAAACGTCATTCTCTAGACAGTAGATGCCTTGGGCTTGTGTGCATAGCGAGAACGCATTTCTAAATTTACCGTCAAACTTCACAGTTCTGTCAGCCTGACAGCAACCACAATCCTGCAAGCGTCATTAGTTAAAATTGAAGCAATCTAAGCTAGCGTTCTCTGAGTATTGATGCGACAATGCTGACGGCGAGCAGCTCCCCCTGGTCTCCACTTCAGGAGTGTAGTGGCTTGCAAGGATTCCAAATGTCCAAATTGTGATGAATTCTCAAGGAGAGGGTTGTCCTGTAGATCTAGAGAACAGAATCTCCGTTTGCACCTGCTTCAGGCACGGAACTGCTACTAACATTCCTACTTGCGCAGCCCCTTGCCAGTGACGCTAAATTGCCTAGTGTGTAGCCCTGGAGACCGTTGCAGTGCTTTACCTTTCTTGTCTATCAAAGTAAGTCCCTCCTGAGCCAAACCTCAGCAAAATTCACTGCTCTACAAATAAGCCGTTCCCCAGGGAAAAGAGCCTTCCTCCTGTGTGTTGTCCGCCTAGCTCTCTCGAAGTCGCTAAGCTCCTAGTGCAGCACTGTGCATAGTGAGTTCTGTGCCCATGAAAGTGTTGGGGCCCACTAGAGTGATGCGGGCTTCTGAGTTGCATCACTGCGCATTCTCCCTGCTGGCTAGTTGTTTATAGCAACTCCACCGCACGGCGACCAGCAGGCACACCCCGCGCCAACACAGCAAGACAGTCAGCTTATTCTGTGGGACTTCTCGGCTAAGTACTGAAGCAGGGCTTCCATTGTAGAAGGCAAACGTGCCAAGAAACTCCGTGCTCGCCTCTCTACAAGCTCTGTCTGTTTCCAAGAGCCACAAGACCCCACCCAGATACCCAGCACTGCCGACCACATGTCTTAAAGTAATGATGCAGTTCCGCCTACGATTTGTGCTAAAGCATGCAGGGTTTCATGTTTGACAAAACTGCGCTGCTAGTTCACTGGGAAGTTGAGTGTTGCGGTGTGAATAGGGCCGTGAGGGGTCTTTCGAAGGAGCCGTGAGTCTCCGTACACGGGCTTGGGAAACAGGAAGTCCTCGTGGATGTTATCTTGTAGTTTTATTTTTTAAATTAAAACTGAAGGACATGTTGGCACAGCGGCGTTTGCTGCTGTGGCCTGGGTTGTCAGCACAGCAGCGGCAGCAGCAGCAGTAGCGGCTGCTACTGTAGTGGCTTCTGCTGCAGCGGCAACAAGCTCAACGGCGAGCAGCAAAGCAGCACAGCAGCACGTGTCCCTCTCTGCTTTTTCGTGCCTTGCAAGTTCCCATTCTCTAGGGACATGTTCCCCTCCTAGCCCTGGACCCTGAACCCTAGCCTGCTGCCCTCCTGCGGCTCTTTCTGCATTAGAGTATTTCCCATTGCCTTGGTTCCTTTTATCTTTCAGTTATATTTTCCTTCTTGTACTGCCATCCTTTAGTCGGAGAGCAGCAACTGGGGCAAGGGGGGTGTCTGTACACCTCAATTGCATGTAGAGCGGCAGCGGCGAGGCATTTGCTCTCCCTGGTGCTACTACTGCTGCCTCCCAGTGGGCAGACACAACGCCAAGGCCCATAACTGCAACAGCACCGGCTGTATCCTTCCAGCTTCCGTGGAATATCACAGCTTCAGGCGGCAACGGCAGCTGCAGCGGCTAAGGAGCAACACCCGGAGCGGAAGCTGCAAGGAAATCCGGAGCCGCAGCATCGCGCAGCAGAAAGTTTCATCCCCCCATTCTTGCTGCGGCGGCCTCGCTAGGACGTTTCCGCAGTGCCTGTGCTTCGAGGGTTCCTCTCTGCATGCTTGTAGCTGCCTGTGCCTTTCTGTCATCGTGGTGGTTTTCTGTGAGGACTGCGGGCTGCTTCGTGCTGCTGCTCCGCGGTCTTCAGCTGAGTGAGGCAGCAGCAGAAGGGGTTGTTCCAAGTTGCTGCGGCTCCACCTGCAGCAAAGTGCACTCCCTGCAGCAGAAACGCCGGGGAAGCTGCAGGTCCACCGCTGTGGCAGTGTAGGCCTGTGGGCTGGTGCAGCAGCGCAGCTAGGCGCAGCAGCTCAGTGTCTGTTGGAAAGTGTTTGTGGTTTGAGGGTTTCTGCATGCCTGGCGAAGTTTGTAGTTTTGTGGCGCTGCTGCTTTCGTCCTTTTTGTTTGTCTTCTCCACCGGCTGTTGGGAATTGCATAACACTTCTCTAGCAGCTTCTTAGAAGCATCTTTCAGCATTTTCTGCTGAGCAGGGCATGCTGCTGAAGCGCCAGGGGCAGCAGCAGCAGGAATCCACTTCAGGTCTGCAGCAAACACAAACAGCACTTGCGGAGGGGCCCTAGCAGCCGCCGCTCCTGCAGCAACAAGGAGCAGCTGCAGCAACGGCGGGAGCAGCTGAAGAAGCCACTGCAGAAGCTGGGCAGCTGGGAAACGAGTAGCAGCGCGAGCAGCAGTAGCAGCAGCTCCCCCGCAGCCTTATACAGGTTTTGCAGCAGCAAGTGGAGCAGCAGGGTGTCTGCAGGGAATAGTGACGCAAAGAACTGCACTTAGTTTAGCCTTCGCCGAGTTCGCAGAAGCAACACGAGCAGCAGCAGCAGCAGCAGCAGCAACTGAATCTCTTGCACTCCGTAGCTCGCGATCTGTTGTTTGTGGAGATGAGCGACACTGGAGCAGCAGCACAAACACCAGCAGCAGCCAGCGTGGAAGGCTCCAGTGCAGCAGCAGCGACTTCAGCAGCTGAAGCTGCTGCAGCAGCAAATGCAACACCTGCTGCAGCGAGCGAGCAGCAGGTGCCCATTTCCTGCGGCGCGGGGTCCGACCCCGCAGACCACGCTTCTGCTGTTGCTGCTGCTGCTGCATCAGTGCCTTCTCTCCCGCAAATTTTAAAGACTGAGGCTGGCTGCTGCTTGCTGTGCCGTGAGAAGAAAGGCTTGACGCTGCTGCAGCTGCTGAAGGTGCAGCTGGCTCCCCAGGAAGCAGCAGCAGCAGCAGCGCCAGATGCAGCAGCAGACGCTGGCGCAGCAGCGGCCGCTGCTGCAGCAAGTGGGCAGCAACCAGCTTCTCCAGAGAGTCAGTCAGCCAGCACTACAGCCAAAGATGAGAAGAGCAGCGAAAGGCAGGTGGCAGCGCAGCAGCAGCAGCAGCAGCAGCGAACTGTGCTGATGCCGCTGCTGTTTGTCCCGGGTGCAACAAAAGAGGCCTTGTGGTCTCCCTGTGGCAGGAGATTAGCTGTCGTTACTGCTGCTGGCGAGCTGCTGCTGCTGGAGCATCCCACGTGGAGTGTGGGGCCGCAGCTGCAGCAGGAAGCAGCTTACCAGCTGCTGAGGGCTGACTGGCTGCTGAAGCAGGATGAGGGCGAGCTGAAAAGGCCTTCAACTGCTGCTGCTGCTGCTGCTGCAATAGCTGGCGCCACGCCCGCTGCTGCACCCACGGCAGCTCAAGCAGCAGCAGCAGCGATGAGGGGGCACGTGCTGCAGTTAGTAGCTGAGGAGCTGCAGCAGAAGCTGGTAACTGTGTCACTAAAGCCCGAAATAGTTCCTCAGGATGACCAGCAGCAGCAGCAAGAAGTCCTGCAGGTGGACCAGGAGGCGCAGGTGAAAGCCCTCCACTGGTCACCACTGGGCACTTTCCTGGTAGCCAACATTCAGCCTGACATGAGGACTCAGCTGATGCAGCAGCAGCAGCGCGGCAGCAGCGCCGCGAGTGCTGAAGGCGGGGCCGAAGCTCCATCCAGCAAAGCAGATGCTGCATCTACAGCAGCTTCGGGAGCGGCTGCGGGAACGCCTGCAGCAGGGGCGTCGGGAGCAGCAGCAACACCAGCAGCAGCATCTGAGCACAATGTTTTTGTTTGGGAAGCAGCAACGGGTAAGGTCGTTGTGTCCCTGCAGCAGAAGAGGCTCGTTTGGCCTCTGCTGCAGTGGCGGGATGATGAAGCTTTTTGCTGCATCCCAAGAAGGCCTCACTTGTTGGTGAGTGACGCCTTTTTCCTTTGGATCCTCATAACGCCACTTTTTTTTTAATGTTTCTTCTTTTTTGCTGTTTGCAGAACATTTTTCGTATCGGTTACTGCTGCTCCTGCTGCTTGCTCTGCCTTGTGTCCCTTGTCCGTTCATATTTTCTTTTTCTTGCACACTCTATGTAGCAAGTTGTGAATCGCCATCCCCATTCGTTACAGTTTGCTTTGTATTAGTGTTCCTGGTTTGGAGCCCATTGCTGCCTTTGTTGGCGTCATTTGTTGCCTTTATCGAGGTTTGCTGAGTTTATTTTGTCATATTTGCTCTCTGTGCCATTTCAAGTTCTTCTGCGTCTGATCTCTCTCTCTTTCCCTGTCTTTCTCGTGCGTTTTGCTGTATTCTGTTAGATTTTGTTTTTCGTTTTTCTGTTGCTCGCGCATCTTCTCCTCCTTTGCCAGTTGCCTTCTACGAGGGCGTCAGTGACTTGGGGTTTATGTGACGGGCCGTGTTTTGTGTTTCAGGTCTATGCTGGCAACAACCTGAGTCGTCTTCTTTTTCGCATTTTCGTGAGGCGCCTAAAGACGTTTGAGATCGGCCCTGCGCTTCAATCGCAGCAGGAGCAACCTCCACAGCGCCTCTGCGTCGCCTGCTTTTCCTTCGGTGCTACACAGCAGCAACAGCAAGCTGCTGCTTCTCCCCCGTCTTTCTCGGTGATAGAAGTTCCCGATGTTTCTGCTGCAGCCGCAGCCGCAGCAGCCGCAGTAGAGGCGGCGAAAGAGAGGGGAGAGGATGTCGAGGCAGCATCTTGTTTTGACCCCATTCCAAACCCCCAGCAGCAGCTGCTTGATCTCCTGCAGGAGCAGTTGCAGAAGCTTGGAGAAACTGCCACGGGCGGGACTGTTGCCACCCCAGGGGAAGCCAGTGGTGACGTAGCTGCACCGTCAGTGCCTCCCGCCCGAGCTGCTGCTGCAATTTCTGCAGCAGCAGCCAAAGCAGCAGCGTACGAGAAGGCCCTAGTCCGGCTTCTTGCATGGCAGGTGCTGCCTTCAGCGGACTCCACAGACTTCTTGTGGAGCGCATCCGGGACTGCTCTCCTTGTAGTGGCCAGCACGACCGTTGATGCAACAGGTGCCTCCCCACAACTGTTTTTCTAGTCTTTGCATTTGACCGTTTGCCTGGCCTCTTCGGCCCCCGATTCCCTTGTTCTTTCTGCTTCCTCTCACCATTTCCTTCTTCGTTTCCGCTTTCGTTATAAAACCTGTATCGGCTTTTTTCCCACCACCTCTTGCGTCCCGTTTACTCTTTTCGGTATTTGTATTTTCTTTTATGTTTTGGCAGTACATTGACCCTTGCCGGCTTATTCTGAGCTGTGGATATAATCTTTTTTTCCTTGAACGTCTTGAGTCTCTACGGACTGATTCCGTCCGAAGTCTTGATCTTACGGCGAATCCTTCATTTTTGACAGGGGTACCTTTGTACGCCGTGTGCTCTGCGTTTTTCAGGAGAAAATTATGGTGGAGTGGGGGACTGTTGGGCAGTCTGTCTTGGGACGCCGCAGCATCCGCAGGCTGTTTCGGCGTTGCAGTGCATTCAGCGCACGGCCTCGCAGCAACAGCAGCAGCAGGAGGAGCCTCCGCTGTCGCTTTATTGCTGCGTCAGGCGCATTAGCAAGAAGATAGTGCAGGATGTCAAGTGGAGTCCCACCAGGGATGAATTTGTCCTTATAGAGGGGAAGTCGCCCAGTGGTAAGGCGCAACCCGAACATCCGGGACCATTAGGTGCCGTATTGCACTACGTCTTCGTCTTTTCTTGCTTGTTGACCGTTTTTAAAGTTTTTTCTCGTCGATTCCAGACCATGATTTTCCAGTTGTCACTCTACGCTTCTGTGTATCTTCTCTCTCCAGACATCGTGCTATTTGACCGCCAAGGCCGCACGCAATTCGTCTTTCCACGTCGGTATCGGAACTTCGTTTCTTTCTGCCCCTTTGGCCAGATGGCGGTGGTCGCTGGCTTTGGCAATTTGGCAGGTGAGCGAACAAACTGCATGGGGTTGTCCACGCTCAGGACTGCCTTCCGAGGATTGTAGTTTCCGAATGTGGCTGCGGTGGCATCGCAATGACTACTCCTGCGTCTTTACTGCCGCTACTATGTTTTCAGCTTCTGTTGCTGTTGGTGTATAATACACAATCTTTTTTTGCCTTCCATGCTTGATTTCGAAGCAGGAGTCCGTTTCGATTTGCTGTTAACCTGCACGTTGTTCTTGTGCCGCGTGTGCTGCTCTGGATACGTTTCGTTTCATCTTTTTTGGAATGCTTACGTGTATCCGGAAGCTGGGCTAGCTCCAGAGGTGATTTTAAATATCTTGTGTCTACTCAAAGGTCGTCTCCTGCTGTGCCACCCCATAGCCTCTCCCCTTGCGTTCACGTTTGCCTGTTCATAAACTTTACCTTTCCTTCGCCAGGGCCTTTTTTCTTGCTTCCGCGTGCAGGGGAGGTTAGTTTCTACTTCAGGGATAAGGCCTCTCAGGGTATGCAGCACATCAGCGAGTTTAGGGCTCCATGCACTGTCTTGGCTCTGTGGGCTCCTTGCGGCTCCTACTTTGCAACGGCGTCCACATATCCCCGCATGAAGGTCGACAATAGTCTGAGCGTCCTAGATTATAGAGGCAAGATTCACCAACCCTTCAGCCCCAAATCCAGTCATTTTCGTCGCTTTGTTAGCTTATTGGCACGTCCTCCTGTGATCGTGTACGAGCTTGTGTTTCTGTGGCTAACAGGCTCGAGATGCTTCTGCTTAAGCCGTTTGCGCCATGCTTAGTGATATTTCTTGTTTGCTTTTGTTACTGCAGGAGAATCTGTGCAGCGCCTGCAGTTTGATGAGCTCTATCATATCGCGTGGAAGCCGGAATCTGACTTGTAAGGGCCAAGCGATGCGCAAAAGCAGCAACAGCAGCGACGCTGGGCAAATAGTATTGAGCATTTCTCTGAGTTTTTCATTGGCCTTGTGCATGTTTGTTTTTCAGGGAACCTCCATGTGCGCCCCAGCCAAATGAGCGTCTGCTGGCGGCTGCCGAAAGTCAAGCATTCCGGCCGAGAGGAGCAACCCATCAGAGACGAATCACTACCCGCATCATGAACGGTCAGCATGCGCTACTGTTGGAGCTGCTTTCCTCTGGTGTTTTGCTGCTGATATCTGCGTGGCAGCGGATATTTTCGATGTATTTCGCAACGGCGATTACCCCACGCCGTGGCATCTGCAACAGCAGCAGTTTCTATGATTCTATCTTCGTGCAGGCGAGGCAGTGGACGATTCTGAACTGCCTGAGGACCTACGAAGGCAACGCGAGCAGATGAGGCGTCGCAAGACCGCTGCTGCCGCTGCTGCAGCTAAGAGGAAGGAAGCAGAGGTTGTGGAGCTGGAGTGGCGACGCCGTAAGTGATTGCTGCTTCTGCCGTTGTCGGTGTGTGTTCTGCTTGCTCCTTGGCTTAATATGCATCCATTGCGAGTTGCAGCTGCTGTTTACAGAGCCAAAGGCCGAACCGAAAGTGTCTCCTGAGGAGCCAGCAGTGGGAGCTCCAGGAGTAGCTGCTGCTGCTTTTGGGGAGGGAAAGCAGCGAGGAGGAAGCTGCACCAGCAACGCGTCGCAGGCGAGCAGTGCAAGTAGGACCTCTGTGGCTCCAACGACGGGGCGTCAACAGCCCCAGCAGGATGCTGTGTCAAGTGCTCCGGCGAGTGCTTCTTCTTCGGGCGATGAAGCTGCTCAGGATGCCCAGAATGCTGCAGCAAAGGAGCAGCCGCACGGTCAGCAGGAACAGCAAGACCAGCTCCACCAACAGCAGCAAAACATGCGACGCAAGGCGGGGGATCTGGGACCAGACTGTGCTGCTGCAAGCGGTGCGTCAAAGTGCTGTATTGCTGTTGCTTGCCTTCCGTCTAAGAGCCGAATGTAGCTGTTCCTGTTGCTTCTGCTTGCCTTGTGTCTATGAGCCAAATGTGACTGCTGTTGTGTTCTGATTTCGCTGCTCCCGGAGCGCGGTGGCTACCCACGTACTTCACCTGTATGCGTTGCTCAGGAGTAGACGACTTGACTGCATTGCTGGAGCAGCAGTCTCTCCAGCACCCCCAGCAGCAGCAGCGCCAGCAACAGTGGCAATCGCAGCAACACTGGCAGCAGCAGCAGCTACAGCAGCAAGTGCAGCAGCAACAGCTGCAGCAACAGCAGCTCCAGCAGCAGCAGATACAACAACAGCAGCTACACCAGCAGCAGCTCCAGCAGCAGCAGCAACTACAACAGCAACAGTTGCAACAGCAGCAGGGAGTTCGTTCTTCAGGGACGCAACAGCCATTAACGGCTGCTGGCCTCCAAGTGCTGGGGCCAGCCCATCCAGGCGTCGGCGTTATCGGTTCCCAGGTGCGGCAGCCACAACAACAACAGCAGTTGACGCCTCAGCAGCAGCAGCAGCTGCTTCAGCATCTGCAGCAGCAGCTGCAAATGCAGCAGACAGGAAACGGCGCCTACTCCCGTGTACCAGGACACAATTCACAGCAGCTGCAGCAATTGTCGGCTGAAGAGCTGTCTGCAGCACTGCGGATGATGCTACCAAACCTGCCCACAACGCAGCAGAATCAAGCATTGCGGCAGCAGCAGTGGCAACAGAGCAACCGTGGAGAAAATGCCCTCAGCGCCATAGCTGCTGCTGCTGCGCGACAGCAGCAGCAGCAGCAGCTGTTGCTCCTGAGACAACAACAACAGCAACAGGACCTGGTAAGCATCTGGTGTGCTTTCTGTGTGTGATACGATTAGTGCTATGTCTGCTGTAGCTGCGATTACTGCTCTTTTAGCTTTCTAGTGGCTTGCGGTGTTTCAGATTGTCTGGTTGCATGCATTATTGCTTGTTCATATAGCTCTGGCTTTTTGATATGTGGGTGTTGCAGCAGCAGCAACAACAACAGTTGGAGGCCCAGCTCCGGCCGCTGCTTCAGCAGCTACAGCGTGGCAGCGGGGAGTCGGCACTGGGTCGGGGAGCCGCTACAATGCAGCAGCAGCAGAAGGCACTGGCTCTGCTGCGTGCGGCTGCTGCACAGCAACAGAAACACCAGCAACAGCAACGCAATCTGACTCTTCAGCAGCAGCAAGCGCTGCAGCAGCAGCAGCAAGAACTGCAGCGCCAGCAGCAGCTGCGGCAGCAACAGCAACTGCTGCAGCTGCAGCAGCAGTCAGAGCTGCAACGGGATGGCAGCCTAGATTTGCAGCTGCAGCAGCAGCAACGCCAGTCCGCTTCAGCATCATCAGCTGCGGCAACCTTGATGAACCTGCCAAGAGAAGCCCGCTTACTCCTGCAGCGACTGCAGCAAAGTGAAGGGGCGCAGAAGACAGCGCAGCTCCTGCAGCAGCTGCAACAGCAGCAGCAGCAACAGCTGGAACTCGAGGAGGTCCAACAGCAGCATTACCGCGGACCTCGTTCCAGTGCTGCAGCGCAACAAAGGCACGGTCTTAGGCAGCAAACTTGGGACAGCGGGGCTGACAGTGAGCCTCAACAACAATTCACTCGGCAGCAACAAATGCAGCTGATGCAACAGTTACAGCAGCAAAACAAACAGCAGCCGCAGCAGCAGCAGCTGCAACAGCAGCAATTGCTCCTGCAGCAGCAAATGCAGCAGCATCAGCAGCAACAGCTGCAAGGGCAGCAGTTGCTGCAGCAACAGCAGCAGCTGCAGCAGTTCTTGCAGCAACAGCAGCAGCAACAGCAACAGCAACAACAGAGGCAGCATCAACAGGGACGAAGGCCAGACGCAATGAACGAAAAATGCTGGCAGTACATTGACCCAAAGGGCAATGTTCAGGTAAGATGTGGACTTTGTTATGCGACGAGTTTCCCCTTTGCAGCGGTAGCTCTAACACTTCCCAGCAACAGGCACAAACCAGATACCAGGGGGGCAGCATTTGGGGGGGTTGTTTGGAGAAATGCGCATTCTTTTGTCTGGTTCACATGTTTGGTTAGGTAGTTCTGTGCCTTTTTCTTGTAGGGTCCATTTTACATTAAAGAAATGTTCGTGTGGAACACTATGGGCTATTTCGATCCTGGACTGCCGGTGCGCTGCTGCACCTCTGACAGATTCGTCCCTCTGAACAAAATGTACCCTCCACCTGTGCGACCCTTTTTGCTTCCACCTAAACCGCAAGCAGCAGCCGCTGCAGCTGCAGGGTTTGGAACGAGCAGCGGGGGAATACCTTCAGCGTCGAACACTCCAACAGCGGGGGCCCCTGCTTCGGCACCGGCTGTTGCTAGCGCTGATGATGGCAATAGCAACAGCGGCACTGCAGGCACTGGCGGGCTTTCCGTTGGTGACATAGGTGCTCTAGCTGGTGCTTCCGGGGGCAGTACAGCCCAAGGCAGCAACGATGCGCGCAGTTAAGTAGTAGTGTTGGCGCCTGTATCGACGCTAACTACTGCTGCTAGTGAGACAAGTTTGCTCCAGTGAGCTATGCGGCAGGCTACTTCACTGCACGATGCTGCCTCGCAGCTCATTCCTGCTACGCAGGTGCACAGCTGGGGGGCTCAGGCGACATTTTGGCTGCCGATGCATGCTCAGGTGCTGCTTTAGCAAGGCTCCTCGCACTCTTGCTGTTAGTGGAGGAAGTGGTCGAGAGGTTGGATCCTTGCTTGCCTTCACTGGCTAGCTCTGTGTCATTTTCATAGGTTTTGCTGCAGTAGCTGCAGCAGTTCTAGCAGCAGCACTTACTGTAGCAGCAGGTACACCTACTGCCACCGCTGGTGAACCTGCTGCTGACTACAACGTTGTAGTCAGCCCATCCTTGGCGTGCAAGGCGAGGAGGAGTTGCTTTTGTTTGTATGGACTTTCTGGATGAGTAAGGGCAACAGAGATTCTTTAATTATGCGTTTTCTTTTGGTGCTGTTATTCCTTTTCTCTAGGCATCTTGAACTATGTTTTCTTGCAGCTTGACTTTGTACCGACACTGGCAGGTAGCGCCTCTTCTGCAAGCATATTCACGTAGAGAGCCACGAGCCCATCAGAAGCCTTAACTGCAGAAGCCTTAACTGCTGCGAAGATAATAGCAGATGTTCTACGCACCGTCCTGGCGTCTGTTTCCCGCATGTGTGTCTTTCTGCGCGGCAAACAGCAGTGAAATGGGTTTGGAAGGTGCACGCGTAAAACGCGCAGGCAGCGAACGATGTAGGGACTCTGGTAACATCTTTACAACTGAGCTTCCTCCTAGCTTGAGTTTATCTTTTCGCATTATTTTTTCAGTCCTTAAGCCGCCTGTACTCCTGTGCTTATTTGTCTGTATTTTTCGGGATCCTATGCATCTTCCGCATAGAGGTTTGTTTGCGTGCTATGTGGAAAACCTACGTGAGCGTATTTGTGGATCTCTCGGGCTAGTTTAACTATTAGGGAAGCCGCTGGTATCGTCTAGCTCTGGATCACACGCACGCTGCATGAAATCCCTAGCGGCACCAAATCATTTATAGAACGCTGCATGATCCATAGCGGCACCAAATCATTTATAGAACGCTGCATATCTTTGGCCCGGAAAAGATCTTTGAGTTGTAGACGGACGCCTCTGGATGCGCAGTGGGTGCGCCGCTTAAGCAGGGGCAAAAACCTATTGGTTTCCTCACCGAGGTCATGACCGCCACACAGGAGGAGTATTTTACCTACGACGGGGTCGTTCTGGCCCTAGCAACCGCTTTGAGCAAGCGCTATCACTCAACGCGCCGCTAAGGCTACCACAGGCACTAACGAACAGGTTGGCGTTGCTGAAACGTCATTCAAGTACACCCGAGCTGAGCGTGCCATAAACCATGCGCGGTCGGAAGGTTGTTGTATAGATTTTTTTTGTGGCGAAGTCTCAGCACGTCGTGACAGTGTACGTACAAGGTCACATGGCTGATGTTTTACAAAGGCACCCTCAACGTCCTGCAACCTTAAAGCACAGTGTTGACTCGTATCACAGGTACTAGGGAAGGAATGCCGTTTTCGCATAGGAGGTCACTGACCAGTCTCAACAGTATGGGAACACCCTTACTGATTGCTACTACGTTCGCAGGGGTGTGCACCATATTAGAGCCTTGACAGCATTGCAACAGCCATAGCGAAGGATGCCGACAAGCATATACGAGCGACCTGACCACCCCACACACCAACTTAGGCTCCTCCAGACGTTTTCCGAGTACGGATTAGCATGCAGGCACCCCGTGCCCAAAGAATACCAATGGAGGAGTTCTGTGCACACTTTATCTTGCCGACAGCAGGCCTGCATCCTGAAACTGTGACACCACTGACACAGCCGACACAACTAATCGCTTTTGTCACGAGCGCAACACTCCGCAAGCCATACGCTGCAACAACTAAACAAGCCAGTGAATGAAGCGAGTGAAGCTCCATAAAGCCATCTCGAATTCCTCACAGTGGGATTGATTTCAACAGCTCTGCACCTATTTTAATACCGAGAATATTATCCCATTGGCCTGTTACTCCCAGAGGAGTAACAGTTGCTCCCTGCGCCGCAGTAATACTTATTTGAGTAGGCAGGAATAGGAGCACTTGTTCCCCACACTCGATGCAGCACTGTAGTGCGCAGCACAACCATGTTGCCCGAAAATAGCCTTCAGGGTGGAATAATTCGAAGTGTATAGATTGATTTTGCAAATAGACACAGCTTTCGTGCATGGACAGTTTGCTTTGCAGTTAGCCTTGGCTATGCGGGGTGCCAAGAGGGACACACGCTATAGTGCACACCACGGCAGGCGCAGGGGTGGGGAAACGTCACGGCGCAGACTCGCGTATCTCTTCGGAAGCTGGCCCTAGAAGGATGCCAGTTCCATCTCTCCTAATTTTTAAACGGTGCCTTCGCTTAGTACCGAATGGTAGGACCCTATGCAGCCAGACTGAGAGAGAGAGACGCGGGTGGCAAGCTGTGCAGTGCTCACTACAGGCATACAGGCCGACTGGCCACTCTTCCACCAAACTCTCCCCGTGTAAAGTGATGATTAGCTGGATTGTCATGATCAGAGGGCACCAACACTTGTGGCGTTTCGTCTTCGCTGTTACACTCTCCATGACAGCAGATCCAGCAGCATTGCTATCAAGAGCAGTGTGGTATCCATGGGTCGTGAGTGATAGTAAAAGGCCTACGCGGACTTCACACGATTTCCCGTTGTACTTCTGTTACACTCTCCATGACAGCAGATCCAGCAGCATTGCTATCAAGAGCAGTGTGGTATCCATGGGTTGTGAATAATAGTAAAAGGCCTACGCGGACTTCACACGATTTTCCGTTGTACTTCGCAATATTGCGAAACCTAGCGCTCGGCAGCAAGCATTTTGTTGCTATCAATTAACGCTCCAAACTTAGATGCCATCGCTGTGCACAACTGCACAGCTTTTTATTGTTTGTCGCATGCTCCCACCTATTTCTTCTACCTATTTCTTCTATGTATTCCAGCTCTTTTCGTTTTGTATCCCCACCTGCGTAACTAAATCCGCAAGCAAGAGTTTCGGCTACGAATGCACCAACTGACCAGCGAAGCGGTGTTCGAAATGTGACTTTGTCTTTGCACGCTTATTTGCCTGCTTATTCAACATGCGTGTATCGGTGTAACACCGTAACACAAGCAATCCTAAGAGCAGGAACACGCATCCAGATGCACAAGAAAGTAATTTCATAGCCGCAATAGTGAGGAAAATAATAGCTGTAGGAATAACCTAATAACCAAAAAGCAAAAGGAAAGAGAAAAAGACGACTGAATTAGAAAAATAATGAAAACCAAACAAAATATAGTGCGGTAAGCAGTTTGGTTATGGTGCTAATGTTTTCACATGCGAGTTTACATGGGGCAAGAAGTGAGGCAGGCTAAAACTCACTGCATATAAAAATGGATTAAATACGGGATAAAGAGGAGATTAAGGAAAGAACAAAGGCTACACGTGCATGCATCAATAAAACCTGGTCATTGAGTTCGCTGAAAATATCTCACAAGAGCACCAGTTGCAGTGACAGACGCAGCAGCTTCAGACAAGCAACAATAATAGCAGCAAGACAAGATACAGAGACACAAGCAGCTGCTACAGCAAAAATGCCACCAGCAGAGCACCTCCAGGGTACATACGCGGGCCCAATCGACAGCTACAGATGTTGCAGCAGACATAACAACTCCAAAAATGCTCCCAACTGTAACTGCAGCAGCAAAAACGGAAGCGACAACAACAAGTGCAGCCAGTTGATAGTGCAGAAATTGCAGCAACAACTACAACGCCCGTAACAAGCGTGATCACAAACCCAATAGCAAATCCATAAGCAGCAAAAGCTGCATCGGTTGAAGCAACAACAACGTCAGTACCAATAACTGCAGCAGCCACGACAACAACAACCGCAACTATGCAGCGGCAACAGCACCTGCAGTAGTGATAACAGCAACCACAGAAGCAGACTTTACGTAGTTGACAGTATTACAAAGCTTAGCTTCCTCTGTATGGCAGCCAACCTGGTGCAGCTCCAGAGGAAATACCATTCGGTACCCACAAACGAAAAATAAAAACCGAAGGTAGGATTTTATGCTGAAGAAACTAAGGAGAAAATACATAGGATTTTATGCTGAAGAAACTAAGGGGAAAATGGCAAGTACCGGCTAGCGAGGATGCAGCGAAATAATAAAGGGAGGGAGGGGATTGTAGTGCTGCGCACTGCAATGGAACCACAAAGTTGTCTTTTGGTTTGACACAAGTCAAAAGAATTACGACGATACAAATCAACTATTCTATGTACAGGTGGCAGAGACTTACCCTTCGTTGCGATTCCCGGCTTTGGTGCTGGCAGTGACTCTGCAGTGGGCGGAGCCCTGTGCACACCGCAAGGTTCTGCACTGTAAAGAAAATCCAGTTCTATTCTGAGCACTCATCCGAACCCTCGACCTCCCGAGAATACTGACATCATGCACAGATATCAGAATCTCCCAATTGTAGGCACATCGCTGGAGACTTATTCTATTAACGCCATGCACAGATATCGTAATCTCCCAACTGTAGGCAAATCACTGGAGACGTACTGTTTATACTGTTGGTGGCTACTGAGAAAAGCGTAACTACCAGTCAGAGCTGGGAGTGCTACACCTTTGCGCGTCATACGCCTTTACTAACCGAGACCGCAGATGAAGTATCCTGTTTTATGCCAATCGTAGATATACTTCTTCCACATTAACGTGCTTAATAAGCACGTTAATGTGGAAAAAGTATAAGTCTAAAGATACTCTTTCGTGGGATAATGCCACATGCAGCGCTGTGTCCTGGAAATGGGGATCAAACCACGGGCAACGCCAAAAGATAGGCACAGAATGGTACTCGAAGCCTTCTGCTTCGCACTTGAGCTCTACTGATTGCCATATGGTCAGGTGCCT